TCGGAGCCATGACGGATCGGTGAAACCTAAAAATGTCGGAGAGAAGAGTTGAGGGAGACTCGCCGCGAGGCAAAGTTCTAGTCTTAGCCAGCTTGAACGGGAGAAAAGCTAGAGCGGGAAGGTTGACTGAGCCGTTTGAAAAATGAGAGACGTGGGTGGAGGTAAATGAGCTCCAACCCACGTATATGTAGTTGGAGAAGGGCGAGTAGCGCGCTTCGACGATGCCCAACGCTTCAGTACAATCAGCTTTGCTTTCACAATACACAATTTTTGAAAAACACTACGTGTGTTAAAAATTATTAGATTCAGATTTTTGACATGGACATGGATGCCATTGTTTCTGCTCTGCATGTGATGTATGCTGATGACTCTAGTGTGCTTCCCGCATATTACTCACTGTCGGCTAGTGTAGGTGTGCCTAGCTTAGCCTCCCCTGCTGCGTCAGGCGTAGGATCCCCTGCTTTGTTTAGTCTTGGTGCTTCTGCCGTCGTTCCGTCGCCAGACGCCACTGCTTCGCTTTCCTTCACCTTGGATTCTGGCGCTTCCCGGTGCTTCTTCCGCGACTTCACGACGCTGACGCCGCTTCCTGCTCCTGCTGCCGTTTCTCTTGCTGACCCCTCCGGCGGTCCGGTAGTCGCCCGCAGTTCCACCACCCTTCCCTGTCCGGCGGTTCCTTCGGGCTCTCTTACAGGTCTGCATATCCCCTCGTTCTCGAGGAACCTAGTTGGTGTCGGCTGCCTCCAGGACCTTGGCGTCACCACTACGTTCCCTGGCCACGAGCGGTATGCTGTCTGTACCGAGGCCGCCACTGGTGCCCCCCTGTCCACGTTCCCTCGGGACCCGGTGTCCGGCCTGTTCACACTGGACACCGTGACCCCCCCGGCCGGGGCGCCCCCTCAGGTGGTTGCGTCTACCCAGGTTGCTGCTGCCTGCTCCTGTCGGTCCCTCACTCACCCGACTCTCCTTTGGCACCACCACCTAGGTCACCCTGCGCTCCCGCGACTGCGTCACATGTCCCAGCACGGTCTTCTCCTTGGTCTCCCAGGTTCTCTCCCCGCGTTTCCCTCCTCCCCAGCCCCACCTTGCACGCCTTGTGTCGAGGGTCGGCTTCGCCGTGCCCCTCACTCCTCCTCGTTTCCCCCTACCGCCGCGCCGCTGCAGACCCTGCACCTGGACGTCTGGGGCCCCGCCCCCGTCCCTGGGCCGCGTCGCGAGCGCTACTTCCTTGTGCTTGTCGACGACTTTACTCGTTACACCACAGTCTTTCCCCTGGAGCGCAAGGCCGACGTGCCTGGCGCTCTCATCCCCTGGCTTGTCTCTGCGCGTGTCCACCGCGGTCTCCCTGTCTTGCATCTTCACTCCGACCATGGTGGCGAGTTTGCCTCAGGTGTCCTTGGTCGCTTTTGTCGTGCGGAGGGCATCACCCAGACGTTCACCCTACCGGACTCCCCACAGCAGAATGGGGTCGCTGAGCGACGCATCGGTTTGGTCATGGAGGTGGCTCGCACCTCCATGATCCATGTCGGTGCACCCCATTTTCTGTGGCCGTTCGCTGTGCGCTACGCTTCTCACCAGCTTATCTTGTGGCCGCACCCTCAGCAGCCGCAGGTTTCGCCGACCAGTCTTTGGACTGGGTCTCCTGGTGACGCGTCTGCGTTCCACGTCTGGGGCTGCCTCGCTCACGTCCGTGCCTCCGGCACGTACAAGCTCACTGCCCGCACCCTTCCCTGCATCTTCCTCGGTTTTCCCCTTGACGTGTCCGACTGGCACTTTTACCACCCGCCGTCTCACCGCTTCTTTCACTCTCGCGACGTCACCTTTGACGAGTCCGCCTCCTACTACCGTCGCTTCCCCCACCGCGGTCCCCCGGTTACCCCCCCCCTGTTCCTGGTCCCTCCTTCCCCGGTAGTCCCTGCCCCTCCTCCTCCTCCTCCCCGTCCTGCCCCCTCTGGTGTGTCCCACGTCACCCCTCGTCCGTCGGTGGACCCGGTTGAAGAGTCTTCTGGCTCTGGTGGCCCTGTTGCGCAGTCCTCGCCGGCCGCCCCTCCCCCAGCGTCCCCTCCCCAGTCCCCTCCTCCACCGCCTCTGCCGCCGCCGCCGCCGTCGCAGGACCCGTTCGCTGCCTCTGGGGGTGCTCGTCCCGGTCGCCCTGGGGGTGGTCCCTCTGGGGGTGCTGGTGTGGAGTGTGCCGGTGGTAGCCGAGGAGCCGCTTGTAGTCCCGGTGTCGCCGTTGTGCCGCCGCCGCAGCAGTCCCCGCCGGTGTCAGCCCTTCGCCTGCTCGGCCTTCCGTCCCCTGACCCTGCGGCTGTTCCTCTCCGACCGTCTCCTCCTCTTCCCGTCTACGGCCCTGTGTTCCCTCCGACGGACTCGTCCCCGGCCCGTCTTCCCCCTCGTTCCCCTCCCGTGTCCCCTCCCCTGTCTCCTAACCCGACTCCTCCGTCGCACGTCTGGTCCACCGTCCCTCCCGTGCTCGTCCTGCCTCGCCTGTCTTGCGCTCCCACCCTATGTTGCTTCGTTCCCATGCGTCTCGTCCTCCCCTTCTGCCGTCGCCTCCTCCGTCCTCCCTTGTTGTTGCACCCCCCCCCGCTGTCTGACTACCTTCGTGCCGCTCGTCCTCTTGTTCCTTGGGTCCTTGCCTCTCTCGTTACCGACCCGTCTGTTCCGGTCTCGTGCCTTGACGCTGTTGTCGCTGCGGTCGCTGACTTCGCCTCTACCCGCCGCCTTGACTACGCCACCGCTCTGGTCTCTGACCCTGCCTGTCCTCCGTCTGCCGGGGGTGCTCCTGCCCTTGGCAGTGACGTCCTGGAGGACCGCCAGTTCGAGCTTGCTTTCCTGTCCGAGGCTGCTCCCCATCTCTGTTCCATGCTGCTAGTCCCTGAGGGTGACCCAGACGCTTTCGACATCCCGACCCCTCGCACTTACGCTGAGGCGACCTCGGGACCTTGGGCCTCTTAGTGGATAGCTGCCATGGAGCAGGAGATGGCATCTTGGAGATCCACCGGCACCTTCGTCGACGCAGTTCCCCCGCCTGGGGTGAACGTAGTCGATGGCCGCTGGCTCTTCAAGGTGAAGCGCCCTCCTGGAGAGCCGCCTGTCTTCAAGGCGCGCTACGTGGCTAGAGGCTTCAGTCAGCGTGAGGGGGTGGACTTCTTCCAGACCTTCGCTCCGACCCCGAAGATGACTACTCTTCGGGTTCTGTTACACCTAGCTGCTCAGCGTGACTACGAGCTTCACTCCCTCGACTTCTCCACTGCCTTCCTTCAGGGCAGCCTACACGAGCAGGTCTACTTGCGTCGCCCTCAGGGCTTTACTGGCACCTTCCCTCCTGGGACCCAGTGGCTCCTGCGGCGCCCCGTCTACGGCCTGCGCCAGGCTCCCCGTGAGTGGCACGACACTCTCCGTGCTACGCTTGCTGACCTGCAGTTCTTTCCGTCTTCCGCAGACCCCTCACTCTTCGTTCGTGCTGGCCAAACTCCGTTCTACATCCTTGTTTACGTCGAAGACCTGGTCTTCGCCACAGCAGACAGGGACGCACTGGCCTCCGTGAAGGCAGAGCTGCTGAAGAGACACACGTGCACTGACCTTGGAGAACTGCGCCGTTACCTTGGCTTGCAGATCTCCAGGGACAGAGCTGCGCGCACCATCACTTTGACTCAGTCACACTTGGTGCGCCAGGTCCTTCAGAGGTTCAGCCTTCAGTTCTCCTCTGCACAGCCCACCCCTCTGCCTGTAGACCACAGACTCTCCGCTCCAATGTCTGAGGAGTCGGTAGAGCCCAGCGGCCCCTACGCAGAGCTGGTGGGTTGCCTCATGTACCTGATGACTTGCACTCGCCCAGATCTCGCATACCCTCTCAGCATCCTGGCTCGCTTTGTGGCCACAGGCAGACACCGACCGCAGCACTGGTCTGCCGCTAAGAGGGTTTTGCGTTATCTTGCTAGTACATCGGGCATGGGGTTAGTGCTAGGAGGACGTAGGCCAGTGGTCCTTACTGGACACACAGACGCTTCGTGGGCAGACGACGCCGAGACACTCAGGTCTTCCCAGGGCTACTGCTTCAGCCTTGGTTCAGGTGCTGTCTCTTGGAGAGCTACCCGCTCCTCGTCTGTTGCTCAGTCCAGCTGTGAGGCCGAGATCTACGCTGGTGCCATGGCGGCACAGGAGCTCCGCTGGCTGACCTTCTTACTCACTGACTTAGGTGAGCGGCCTAGCTCTGCCCCGGTCCTGTTCGCTGACAACAGGGCCATGATCCTCTTGTGTCAGGAGCCTCGACTCGAGGGCAGAGCGAAGCATATTCAGCTGCGGTACTTCCTCCTGCGTGAGCTACAGCAGCGACGCCAGGCTCGCGTAGTACACTTGGCCTCAGGTGCCAACACAGCTGATATCTTTACGAAGGCGTTTGCGCCTAAAGATCATCAGCGGCACTGTGTACAGCTTGGTTTAGTTCCTGTAGCCTCTCACTTGCTAGGGCCTTGACTTTGTACTGTCCTTTATATGTGTACTCAGACTGGACTTGTGTCCTCTTCCAGTGGCTGGACTAGTAGTGCCGCCCTGGCCTTGTTCTTGCCTTGTCTGTACTCCTTCTGACTGGTCTTTTAGACCCTTGTCTCAGAGGTTGGACTAGTAGTGCCGCCTTGAGCTGCTTGTTTAGGACATTCCCCTATGCAGTCTAGGGGGTGTGTCAAACATGTGTAGTCGTTATGTTTGTATAGACTGTATAGGGTCACCTCTTAGAGGGTACAATTCTTAGGTATATCTTTCTGTACTCTCTCACTAGTCATTATTCACTACTCTCATTCTGATAGGGGTGTCAGTTGTCCTGGTGGTTTGCACTGCTGTGCTCAAAGGGAGGATGGAAAACTTTCTCAAGCCCCCTCCACCACCACCCAACCTAAGTCACGGTGGGCCTACCTTCCATGAGGCTCAACTTTCACCACACTACACACAACTGCTGCTAGCTGAGGCATTCTACCGGGAAGAAAAGCCCGCTCTCATTGTAAGAGTTTCAAATTCGTTATATGGAGTATAGGTTTTTTACAAGAGTTATAGCTGCAATGCATGAAAGAATAGTAGAGGCCTGTACAAATTCCCTCAACTCTTCTCAACAATTGCAAAACTTGAAGCAGGAATGTCCTGCTAAGGTCTCCAAGCAATCTAGTCATCCAGCTCGAACACCACGCCGGCAGCTATCGACACGGACGGCAGCGACCGATTCTTCTCGCTCCCCACAAGAAACGCCGCACTGTCCGCAGCAAGAAAATCAGGAATGGGCATATCCTGGACGTAGCCTCGCCGCGAGTCCATCTCGTCGGTCGAACACACGTTTTCGTCGCGCCACGTGGCTCGCCATCCCTGCTCGGGCATCCCCGCTAGTGTGTGCTCCGATAACGCGGCGAGGGTTGCGTCGGACGGTGTCGTCTGGGCGTCCCACGATTGGCTGAAAGGGTTCGGCTTCGGGGCGGAGAAAATCCGCAATACCGAATCCAGCGATACTGCTTCGTTCTCCGACAGTTGCGTCGCCTGCTGCTGCTGTTGGGAGATGCTATCTAGAAGAGTCTCCTGCGCTGTCGCATGGGATCGCCAGGCGACTGCGGGCGACCCCGCGGTGCTACCGCCGAGCAGCGCGCATTCCAGGGCGGAAAGCTCCGCAGAATCGGTCGTGGACTCCGCGGAGGGGCTCCAGAAAGAAGGGATCGGGGGAGCTGCGCCGCCGCCGCTGTGTACGCTACGGATTTGCCGCTGCGAGGGCTGCTGGGACTGGCCTTTGGCGGCCGGGTGTACGGCCGGGTGTGCGGAGGTGCGATGCAAAGCGCGCAGGAGTAGAAACGAGAGATGGCTCGCCGCGGGAAGGCACGTGGAGAGGGCTTGGGTGCGCGCTAGCGACAGCGCCATGCCAGCTGAGCTGATCTTGAAGCCTGTGACGCGTTGTGCGCCTGCGAACGAGACACTAATTTCAGGGCCTAGACTCGAGGAACTGAGGTGGAGGCGAGGTGCGGATGAGGAGAGCTGAGAGAGCTAGGCTAGCACGAAGGGGTCTGTGTTGCCAAGTGAGGAGCTGGGGAGGGCGCGAGCTGACGAATGCTGAGGTTGAGCTGATCAAGAAAGCTGACGATGCGAAAGGCTGGAGAAAACTGGGAGTGAGCAATTCCTCCCTTCATCTCTGATATAAATGGCCTTCAAGTCAGCACCGCCAAGCAGGGGGGAGTTGTTAGGGCCGGGGAAAACTGTACGACAGCCAGGAACACTCGACCGAGCGCAATGCGTACAGAACAAGAAAGATCGCATTGGGTGGAATGGAAAGCAGAAACGAAGGTGCGCTGGGCAGAGGATGGTGTGATGATGTGATTGACCAGCGGTGGGGCGATTGCTGCGCCGCGCTGGCTATCGATGGTGGGTGGGAGCTGGAGGGGGTTGGTGAGAATGGTTCACCTCACTGCCTGCTGCTGGTCTGCTGTCCGATTGGAGGGAATTGATGACGCAGGGGAAAGGCTCATGGTAAAGGGTTTTGAGATGGTAACGTGCGGCGCAGTAGGCTTCTGTGCGGGAAATTATGGTACATAATTATAGTAGTGTTCGTGGTTCGGCCGGTACTGGTACCTAACCAACAACTCATAAGGGCAAGTCTCCCTGCCGCTCCGAGCCAATCCAATCCCAGATGCCAAGGTGCTGCCTCTTTTCAGGGAGCCTGACATGTGCCAAATGCTGCGCCAAGTAGACTCTCCCCCAGGGCTCTCGCTAAGCCTAGGGTACTCCGTTAGGTCACGGAATCGGCCGCGAAACTACCCGTTAGCGGACGGAGTCGCCGAAACATTACCCGATAGCATACGGATTCGTCGAAGAGCTACTCTTGGTTTGATACTAACACCCTTGAATGCAAATGGCCTTGGCCGCGGCTAAGGAAAATCCATCAAAACCCCAGGGACTGTTTCTCGCGCATACTCCTCCTGAGGTAGTTGGAAGTGTAGAAAAACTCTCGACAACTAACCTCGCGCTTTGCTTAGTGGCGGAAGCTGGGAAAAGAGAAGGGGAGGGTGGGAGTGGGCGATACACCACTACGAACAGATCTCCTACTACAAATACAATTCGTACGGAATCAAGAAGAGTACCCCTCAATGTCAAGGAATTACACGAAACGTAATCCGTTTGCAGACGAACGCAAAAAAACTTTGCGAAAAACGGGATCTTTTGAAAACAACTCTTAATTTCAAGTCATTAAGAAAATTACCCTGTTGACCAGAGCCCTGCTCTCCCCTTGGGAGGAGGTGCACCACCACCACAACTCGCACGGTGGGCTTTCCGCGTTCGCACTCGCACGAAGCTCGGTTGGTTGAGGCGGGATGCCAGATCAGCTCGAGCTCTCTTCAGGATTTTTCGCGCGTGCCGAGTCAGCTCGGTCCGCTCAGGTCTGTCTGCTCTGTCGGTGAGCTGTGAGCCGCAGCCCGTGATCTTCCGTTCCGTGGACCTGCCCGCCCCTCAAATTCGGGCCGCACGTTGGGCTGGTTGGTTGGTCTGCTCACCGAAAAGACAACGAACTCCACTAGCTCGAACAAGCCCAGACAACGAGCGCCAGCCAACCAAATCAAGCCAGCACCGCACAGGGTCACCATCCGCGCTCCGCAGGGAGAACGGAATGGAGGAGCATCTTCTGACGAAGGATTTATTGTTACATGGCGGCAAAACTGACCACTTCTGACCACTTATCGGGTGCGGGTGCATCAGTGTCCACCGACATAACTCACATATATAAAGAGATACACCTATAATTATTGTTAATTCAAGTAATGCATGCATGACTTTTGCTTCGATTAAGGCCACCACGCTATCCTTTTAAATCTTATTCAAACCATTACGAAACATGAACTCATTCCGGCTAGAAAGTAACTTATTTTCAACTCATTATTCCTTCAAAGTCCTTGCATGTGCCAGGATTTGTGCTGCTGCTGACGTCGCAGCAGACGACTTGGCACCTTTGCTTGCCAGCTCAGATTGCACGGCTGCAGCAGGCGCCACGTCAGCAGCCCCAGCTCCATTCTTCTGCTCGCACGCAGCAACAGCTTCTCTCCGCCCCTCCACGTCCACAATGCGCTCCATCTCCTCCAATTGGTCAAAAGGTGCCACCTGGCAGAACATCACAATCACCATTGGAATGGCAGGGGGGAGACATGACAATCACATGAAAACATATCACGTGACATTAGCAGGGCACGAGTGAGTGTGTGCGGTCATTCAGGGCTGTACATGACTGTACAGTTACAGGGAACCTTGCTGACCAGGCTACGCCATCTGCTGACCTGGATACACTGTCTGCTGACCTGGCTGAACCCGTCGGGCCACACGATGGCGACAGCATAGTTGCCCATTGGCCGCACGCTCTCCGGGATGATGTCATCGTTGATGTCACTGTACTGGAGTTTCTGCTCCCCCGTCCACTCGTCCTGATCGTTGTGAGCACAGGGGGATAGGGGTAGGGTGGGGAAGGAGAGGGTGAAGGGGTGGGGAGGAAAAGGGGGGGGAGATGGCGAGGGGAATAGGAGAGGCATGGGGAAGGAGAGCGTGAAGGGAGGGTGTGCTTTGGTGAGTGAGGGGTAGACTATGAGTACTGGAGTACTAAGGCAAGGCAAGCACCAATGGGACCAACATTCAGGATGCAGAAAGTTCAGGATGCAGAACATTCAGGATGCAGAACATTCAGGATGTAGAACATTCAGGATGCAGAACATTCAGGATGCAGAACGTTCAGGATGCAGAACATTCAGGATGCAGAACGTTCAGGATGCGGAACATTCAGGAATCAACGAGGGAGGAATCTCCTGTGAGGAGCGCCGAATGCCAATCGCAAGAACGCAGCGCAATGACACTGGAAAGAGCTCCTTGCAGGCACGCGGTGCGCACCATGTGGACAGCACACGCCTCCAACACGCATGGCGGCTTAGGGCACGCAGAGTGGGCTTTTGGGTCGATTCTTAAGTCCCTGTGTGGCGACTGAGGGTGCTCAGTTGACTGTTGACTCATGGTGTGCCGCCCAGTTGACTTTCCCTTGACCCTCGTTGACTCGTAAGCTAACTGGTAACCCGCTTGGCTCTCATTCCATCATCAATCCGTTGACTCTCATTGACTCTTGTTTGACAAAAAAATGCTCACTATTAACCTCCTTGACTCATGCTGACTCCCCTTGACTCCACTTGACTCGCCTTGGCTCACAATGCTCTGTGCCTCCCTCCCTGTGACTCACAATGCTCTGTGCCTCCCTCCCTGTGACTCACAATGCTCTCTGCCTCCCTCCCTGTGACCCACAATGCTCTCTGCCTCCCTCCCCGTGACTCACAATGCTCTGTGCCGACCGGTCGTTGCGCCGAACTGTTGCCGGGTGAAGGAAGAACTCCTCGTCGCTTCCTGGAAGCTTCACTCGCAGGGCCCTGAGGGTCTCGTCATACAGCACTGCGGTGGCGACTGCAGTGAGGAGAATGGGGAGGAGTGGGGAGGGGAGGCAGATGCGGAGGGAGGGAGAGGAGGGAGAAAAAACGTTTCACCCGCAGCGCCCTCACTCGTCATGCCCCACTGCTGTGGTGAAAGCAGCGAGGAGAAAAGGGGGGGGGGGGGGGGGGGGGGGGAGAGGGAGGCTGTAGGGGAAGGGGAGGGGGCATTGGGAAGGAGGTGGTCTGTGGAATACTGGACGGTGCGCCCAGCGCGCACGGTTGAAGGAGGGTGACGGGGAGGAGACGGAGTGGGAGGGAAGTGCGGAAGTGATGATAAGACGGGTGTGGGAAGGGTGAAAGAGGAGGTGGTTGCAGGTGCGGGTGTGCGATGGCAGGACAGAATGAGTGCAGAAATATGGCACGAAAGTCATGGAGTCACTCGATAAGCTGTTCACTTCGCCTTTCCGAAGTCCCAACCCAAATATCAAGTATTGTTTCTTCATTGATTCTTGACACCCCTGCCACTCTCTCCCCCTTCACCCACCTCTAACCCCCACGTCACCCACCTCCTTCCCCGTAGGCAACGACCTCTCTCCCCCTCTCACCCACTTCCCCCTTCTCCCCTCCACAGCTCACCCTGCTGCCTCAGCTTGGCGCACTGCTGCACCACGCACGCCCCAACATCCGAGAAAGTGCGTCCCACCAGCCCCTGCGGGTCCTCCACCACCTCGGGCTGCCCGCTGTCGCCCGCCGCTGACAGCTGGCAGACAGAGGGAGAGGGGCGGGGAAGAAGGCACGTGTTGCCTCGGGCTCCATCGACACACCAGCCCCTGCTGGTCCTCCACCTCGGGCTGCCCGCTGTCTCACCTGATGACAATTAGGGGGCGGGGGAGGTGCTTGTGTTTGGGTGGGGGGGGGGGGGGTGGGGTGTGTAGAAGCATAAGGGGTTAGGGAGGTATATGAGGGGGAAGTTGGGGGGAGAGTGAAGAGATGGGGAGGATTTACCTAAGGCCGCAACTTCCCACCAGGTCAAACAGGTGCGGAATGCCAAACACGGCCTGGGCCACGTGACTGGGCCTCCGTCCGACGACCAAGTGCACCTCAAATCACCACTATACCTTCATTTCATGCTGCCACATCTCCCATCTCTCACCTCCGGGCGGATGGGCAGCTCGAAGAGGTGCGGGATGCCAAACTGCGCCACCACCTCGCTGCCCGAGCCCTTGCCGAAGGGGAAGAAGCGCTTCCCCTCCGCCTCAAAGAACGCCATGTTCTCCACCACCGCCACACACGGCACCTGGTGATGGGAGGACCAAGACATGGGACCAAGACATGGGACCAAGACATGGGACCACGACATGGGACCAAGACATGGGACCACGACATGGGGGTATGGAGGGACGGAGTGTCGTCGTTTTGAGTCTGGCACAAAAAGACTGGGGGGAAAAAAATGCACCAATCTTTCTCGCCTTAAGCCAGGAAAACATGCGCACGCCCTTAGCCGCGTCGATGAAGACAGCAAGAATTTGTAAGCTTCGGTTGGTTGCTGTGAGCTTGGTCTAGTTTCCCACCTTGAGCTTGGAGAACATGCGCACGCCCTTGGCCACGTCGATGAATGCGAGCTTCTGAGGCGTCGTCACGATGACAGCTGCTGTCAGCGGCACCACCTGCCGGGGGGGGGGCGGGTAGAAAGGAGCAGCAGGAGATGGGGAAGGGGGCGCGCAGTGAGGCATGGCCACGATGAGCGCTGCCGTCACGGGCACCACCTGTGAGGCGAGGGGGAGTATGCAAGGGGAAGAGGCCGCTGGCACGCCATCAGAGGTGAGGAGTTGCCAACGGTGAGTAAAGAGCGAGGGGGGGTGAAAGGGGGTTGCAGTGCCCATGCAGGCACTGGCTAAAGCAGGAACAGGAGTGAGAGAGCGCACGGAGAGGTGGATGCGAGGTAGTCCACCTCGCATGGGCTGCACAGCACATACGAAACCAAACCATGAGTTGACGGGGACCTCACCTGGCAGAGCGTGAGCTGAATGTCCCCCGTGCCGGGCGGCATGTCGATGACCAGGTAGTCCAGCTCGCCCCAGTCCGTGGTGGTGAGCAGCTGGTTGATCACGCCCGACACCATGGGCCCGCGCATGATGGCGCTGCCCTGCACCGCATGGTGGATGCGGTGCAGCGCGTGAGCATACACAGGGGTGCAAGGGGCAGGACAACGGAAGCACAGGGCATAGTAGTTGGTGCGCGGACGCCTGTTGGCATGGTCCCATGCACTATGGCACTGCCCTGCGGTGTAGGGGCACAGAGATGTCGCACAGCTGCAGAGACCAGCATGCAGCTTGGAGGAGCAACCATGGAGCACGCATGCATGCAATGCAAACAGAGCCACCCAGCTGACACAACAGAACCCACCTGGCCAGCAAAGCCAAACGAGACGAGCTTAACGCCCAGATACTCCGTTGGGGAGATCTCCCGCGTCTCCGCGTCCTGCCAATGAGAGAGACACAGACGTGAGGCCATGGGAGGGGGGGGGGCGGGGTGAGGAGTGGGAGAGAGACGAGAGGGGTGGTGCCCCTAGGCTCTGCGCCATGGGAGGAGGGGATCAGGGTGGATTGTGAGGGGGGAAAGGTAAAGCGTGATGCCCATCGTCTATGGATTCTGGAGAGAGGACACTGGGGAGTGGGCGAGAGGGGACGGAAGTGATTTGCTTCGTCTCTGGTTTCTGGTCCGACGGCAGAAAGAAGGAGAGGACGAGAGACGAGGCGTCATGCGTGGCAGAGAGGGGATGGTAAGGTGCAGCAGGGTGGAGAAAGGGGTGGCAGGGCGAGGCAGCATTGCAAAGCGAGAGCATTCTTTGTTTCTGGCTTTGAAACAGCATTTGCAGGAGCGCAGTCACCACGTGCAGCAACCAGGGCCACAGGTCATGGCAGGTCACTCACCATCCTGAGCGCACGCAATTCAGGCAACACCACGGTGGGCAGGCTGCGGCAGTGCGATACCATTTTTTAGGCTCCTCAAAAGGCTGCGGCAGTGCGTTAGCATTAGCAGCATGGGCATCATCCTGTGCCTCCAAGGGGGGCCTTACTAGCGCAGGAGAACTACCATCCTGAGGCCGTGCACTACCTTTAGAGCTGCCCATCACCACGGCAGGGCACTCACCATCCGGAGCACGCGCAGGTCGGGCGACACCATGGTGGGCAGGCTGGGCCCGTAGATGTCGGCGTCGAAGATGCCCACCTTGGCGCCCATGCCGTGCAGCGCGTACGCCAGGTTCACCGCCACTGTGGACTTGCCCACTCCGCCCTACAGGGGGAAATGGGGAGGAGAGGGGGGGGGGGAGAAGAGAGGAGGCGACCTTGGCGCCCATGCCGTGCAGGGCATAGGCCATATACACCACCACCTTCGACCTGCCCACTCCGCCCAGAGGAGGGCGGGGGGCAGGGAGGCAGCGGAAGGACATGCACAAGCAGCAGAAAGCGCGTGGGTTTAGATGGCCTCTTTGCCTCCCATGCCGTGAAGGGCACCCGCCAGGTTGACACGGACCGTCAGCTTGCCCATGTGGAGACACGATTGCGGAGGGCAGCGGGGAGGACAGGCGACACATGGGCACGTTACAGAGGTACTCCACTGCACATGATCAACACAACGTTTGCCCTGGCGAGAGTGGCCCATTCAGCGTGGAAGGAGCATCGGAACGAGTCTGTGTCTGGGAGAGTACAGCGGCGAGGAAGTGGAGCTGAGGGGTGACGACTGCATGGGGTGGGGACGGGATGCATAGAGCAACATACCTTGCAGCTGGACACGGCGATGATGTTGGCCACTTTCTGCAGCCCACGCGGCACCTCCTCAGCCACAAGCGGCTTGGGCGGCTGAGCTGTCATCTTGAGAGAGACTGACTTGACCCATGGCAGCGAGCCCACGTACTCACGTGCCTGCGACTCGAACTGGAGTAGGGCGCAGAAGGAGGCGGGCAGGGGAGTCAAGAGAGAAAGAGAAGGGGGGCAGGCATTTATGAATCCGACCCACGGCAGGAGCCCATGTGCTCGTGTGCCAGCGACTCAAAGTGGACAGGGACCATGGGGGAGAGAGGGGCAGGCGGAGGCAGGGAGGCAGGGGGCTAGGGAGAGGAGACTGGAGGAAAGGGGCGGGGTGCAGGGAGGCAGGCATGACATGGTGCAACCCTCCACCTTGATGGTGACCATTCTCATCCCCGTTGGTGCACTCACAGAGTCTTTCACTGGGCAGGCGGGCGTGGTGAGCTCCATGTTGAACGACACAGCGCCCTCGCCCTCGTCGATGGTAAGCTCTTTGATGAACCCGCACGACACAATGTCCGCGCCCAGGTCCGGGTCCAGGATGCGGCGCAGCTGCCCCAGCACCTCGCCCTGCAGTTTTTGCTGGTTAGGGGAGGGCGCTGGGGGATACGGAGAGGGTCGAGGGGGAGGGGGGAAAGGGGCATATGAGGGAGCCGACAAAATGACGTCAGCAACCAAATCCGGGTGTAAGTTGCGGCAGAGTTGAGGGGGGTATGCGGGGAGGGGATTGCCACACGACATGATGTCCGCTCCCAAGTCCGGGTCCAGGAATTGCCCGAGTTGACCCAGCGCCCCGCCCCGCACTGCTTGCTGGCTGGGGGAGTGGGCTGAAGTTGAAACGGAGAGGGGGGAGAGGGGGAAGGTGGGGACAGCGGGAGAGGAGGGAGAGGGGGAAGGGGAGGGCATCGCGACAGTACAAAGTGTTTGCGAGCAAAGGGAAGGAATGTCATGTAATTCAGTTAGCGTGAGTTCCGTGAAGGGATTGCTGCCCCTGTCGGATGTTTGGATCAGCCTCGGCTTTTCTTCTGCTCTCCGTCCGTACAACTAACACGATATTCGCACATCGATCATCGCCGTTCAGGGACTACAGTGCAACTCCTCGAGGGGTCTCCCGGCAACAGCTCGTGCAGAGGAACGGGATTACAGTGTACCTTGCACGCTACGCTTTTCCCCTGAGGCGTCTCAGTAGCTTCATTCCAGCGACCGCTGAGCTTGAAGCCGTGCGTGAGACGCGCGTAACTGTTGAAGCGCGCGGCTAAACGCGATAACCCGCCCATGCGACAGACGCTGAAGAGCTGCTCGATCATTATATCATTTCCAGAGCTGCACATGTATGGAGACAGCTACACCTTGACAGGTGGTAACCAGCCGTAACCACTCCCGGCCCTCACCTGCCTCTCCGCCCGCTGCCTGCGCTCTGCAACGAAGCGACTTCCCACGGCGGCCCGCATGCGATGATGCAGCCGGTGCGGCAGCCGACAGAGATGCTGACGCGGACGCGGACGCGGAACCTTGTTGCTGGGAGGAGACGGAGCGCGTCAACGCTGCTCTCGAAGGCTTCGCGTGGGAGCGAGAGGGCACGGCATCACCTGCGAAATGGTCGAGTCGAGAGACGAGAAGAAAGCGGGATTTCAAATGACGTGGAGTCTGGATTGTAGCGCAGCGAGCGAGGGGGAGACCGGCAGTCCGATTTTGGAATTTCCACGAAAGCGGGTCTTGTTCTCACATAATCGGAACAACGGCCGGAAGGTTTTGGAAAATGCTCCTTGTTACCTGCCAGCTGTGACTGTAACGAGCACGGAGCTCCCAAGGCGCCTGACAGCAGCTGCTGAATCGCCGCCATTTCGTCCGTCAGTTCTTTTCAAATGGGCCAGCTGTCTCCGCAATTAGTGGCCGCCGCGCCCTCGAATTCCAGAATAAGGAATGCGACGGCTTGGCGACGGAGCGCAGTACGACGGATCGAGCGGACAGACGAACGAACTGGCAACGAAGACGGCGGGGACAGGGAGGAAGAGTTGGGAAAGGTGAGGGAGCCGACAGGAGTGAGAGGGAGTACAAGCCTTTCCGTGAGTCGGGTTGGCCTGCCACAGAGTCGGCGGGATGATACACAGTGATCCGTTCATCCGTTCACGCACGCAACCTGGAGACTTCGCCCTGGGATTGGCTCCCGAAAACAGGAGGCACGTCAGATTACGGGTGGAGAGCCCCGTGCTTACATCTGGCCCTGACCGTGCCACCTCACCACGAAATGTTCCCCTGCCGAAACCGAGGTTTGGCAACAGAGTGCTTCGCTTGTGGTTAAGGCCGTAAATGCGGTCATAATATCACAAGAAGCATTATTTTCGTGAGTGTAAATGTTTCTCGGAACGGAGATGCCTCAACCGGAGATATTACGGTCTTCACTTTTCGCTGAAGCAGCATGGTCAACGGAAAGCTGACTTGAATCCTGTATTCCATTGACTCGACGGTGCCTCTATCCGTGTGAATCCCCCGCACCATTGATCCAATCTTTACATCTGAGTCAGCGCGCGGTGCGATCGCCATTCGTGAAATTGCGAATAGACTCGCGACGCGGTGAGGGTACAAAACGTGGCAATTCCTTCAACATTTCATAAAAACACACATTCCTCCTGCCTGAAAATAGCAGTGACACACATCATCCAGGAATCTAGGCCTTCTCGCTCCACAACTGAGAGACTTTCAGCTTCATCAGCAGCACAAGCGCCATGGGGCAGAGAGTTATATTTTCGCGGAGTCAGCCTCGCCGACGTAGCCTGAGCACGGTACTTCTCCTCTCCCTCGTCCTGTTCTCATCTCTCCACGCCACGTTGGCCTTTCGCTTCTCCGCGGGGCTCCGTGTGGACAAGCTGCGCGGAATGATGCGCGGAAAGGCGCAAGGCGGAAGCTCGACCGGCCAGCACCAGCAGCAGCAGGGCGGCGGAGTTGGAGGCGGCGGAATGGGTGGCGACGGAATGGGCGACCGCGGAATGGGAGGTGGCGGCGGCAGCGGAATGGGCGGAGGAGGAATGGGCGGCGGCGGAACGGGAGGCGGCGGAATGGGAGGCGGCGGAATGGAAGGCGGCGGAATGGGAGGCGTCGGGATGGGCGGCGGCGCAATGGGAGGCGGCGGAAAGGGCGGCGGCGGAACGGGAGGCGGCGGAATGGGCGGCGGCGGAACGGGAGGTGGCGGAATGAGTGGCGGCGGAATGGGCGGCGGCGGAATGGGGGGAGGCGGAATGGGCAGCGTCGGAATGGGAAGCAGCGGAATGGGCGGCGGCGGAATGGGGGGAGGCGGAATGGGCAGCGTCGGAATGGGAAGCAGCGGAATGGGCGGCGGCGGAATGGGAGGCGGCGGAATGGGCGGCGGCGGAATGGGCGGTGGCGGAATGGGAGAAGGCGGGATGGGCGGAGGTGAAATGGGAGGGGGTGGCTCGGGGTCGTTTGCTCCAGGGTCGCAGGCAACACCCCGACAGGGCGGACCTGGGATGGGCAGAGGAATGGGCGGCGGAGGGATGGGTGGCGGAGGGATGGGTGGCGGAGGGATGGGTGGCGGAGGGATGGGCCGCGGTGGGATGGGCGGCGGAGGGATGGGCGGTGGTGGGATGGGCGGCGTAGGGACGGGCGGTGGTGGAATGGACAGCGGAGGGATGGGAGGGGGGGGCATGGGTGGAGGCAGGGACGGCTCGGGGTCATTTGCTCCAGGGTCGCAGGCAGCACCCGGACAGGGCGGATCTGGGATGGGCGGCAGGGTTGGAGGAGGTATGGGCGGACCTGGGGGCAGCATGGGCGGACCTGGGGGCAGCACGGGCGGACCTGGGGGCAGCATGGGCGGACCTGGGGGCAGCACGGGCGGACCTGGGGGAAGCATGGGCGGACCTGGGGGCAGCATGGGCGGACCTGGGAGCAGCATGGGCGGACCTGGGGGCAGCATGGGCGGACCTGGGAGCAGCATGGGCGGACCTGGGGGCAGCATGGGCGGACCTGGGTCATCTGCTCCCGGATCAGAAGGAGCCATGAGTCCTGGGGGGAGCATGGGCGGAGGCATGGATGGGGATATGGGCGGAGGCATGGACGGTGGTATGGACGGAGGTATGGATGGTGGTATGGGCGGAGGCATGGATGGTGGTATGGGCGGAGGCATGAGGCGTTGAAGGGGCGAAGCCTCACGTGCAGCACCGGAGCAACCATCATAAGACACCTAGTTCTGCCCCATCCATTTCCATCCTTCACGTGCTTCATCGCAGCGCTTGTCCCAGGACACCTGCCCACACATGCATAATCATTTAGTTATGCCCATGTCATCACTATCCTAGTTGGACCCTGGGTGCGGTAGAAGCTTGGTCGCAGCAGCACTCCAAGCGATTGCTTGCAGAGTGCTGCTTCGTCCAAGCTCCTCTGGACTGTCAGTCACACTCTCTCCAGGTGCTGCTGCTCATCCTCCAGTACAACGGAACCTGGTTGGAAACCCTAGGCAGCCGATAAATGTGTTTCTGTGTGTTAGTTAACGGAATGAATCAGAGCTCGGATTACATGTGTCTTCCGCTGTGGAAGGGGATTGAGCCGCTGCGGTTGCCCTGAAACAGGTTTTCCCTCCCTGCGTAGCAATGCACAGCTGTCGCAAATCATACCAGTGGTGTCGCTGGAGTCAATGACTCCAATGCTGACTCCAGTGGTGGTGCCACTTCACCATAGATGGCCATACAAGCCGAGCTCAACATAACCAGTCGCCTGCAACTGGGCATCTCATCAGTAAGCACTGTCAAACTCAGGAGAAGATTTGCCAGCGTCTGCTCTCTGACGCTCATCCTTACCTCCACCGTCCTTTGCTTCCTCACACTCTCCTCACTCCCCTCCCTCCGAACCACCCTCTCCTTGCTTAACCTCCTCCTCCTCCTTGATTGCCCTTTGTGCGATTGTCGGACACGAGAGCACAAGGTAGTTGTGATTGTCGACGCAAGAACCATGCAGTGGCAGAGGCATGATGGTTTTGAAGTCAGCTGCTCACACCCCACCCTCAGAAACTCTCCTTGCTCTACACTCCCTTCGCAACCAGTTCTTGACAAACTGACTAGGCAGAATTACGATGAGCGAGATTGTGAGCTGAAAATGTCACGAAAGACGACTCTGATGAATTAAGGGCATGTCCCGCCGCGCACGTTTGTGGGTCACGAGCTGCTGCGCACTTACCCCTGCCCCTCTGGACTGGTCGCTCAGCTAGGGAAGCAGCGGTGTGGAGGCGATGCGATGAGGGAAGGTTTAAGGGACAACAACTTACAGAGTGCCGCATGGCGATAAGGGCAGGGCACGGCGACATGTGATAGCATGCGATGACATGGCATGTGAAGACATGCAAGAAGATGGAAACCATGCAGACGGCATGCGTGCGACATGCGGCATGCGGCTTGTGACGACATGCAACATGTGCAACATGCGACAGGACAACAGAGAGCATGACCGAGCAGTCTGGGGTGTCTGCCACAACAGCCATCATGCGACGGTGTGCGACAGTGAGATGCCATGGAGGCAGAGCAGCAGGCCATGCGAGATGGCTGCCGTGACGAGCACACGCTCTGTTGGAAATTATAAAAAGGACTTAGCGCATTTCAGGAGTCTCAAGTGCTGTAACCATACGCGAAGACCACAACATCGAGGGACTGACGAGTCAAATCCTACAATAGTACTTCCGACGGTTGACGCAGGTTGAAGACACCTCACAGAGGTTACGAAAAGGCAACGGTCGCAGATTGTTGACCCCGCAAACCCAACAGTCAGAAGCACAAGAGTCAAGTCAGCACGACAGCAAGGACAAATAAGCGTCCTAGTATTACAGTACGGTTGGTTACTCGAGTCGCCCTTGTCGAGTCGTAAAGGGAATGTACCCCTTGAAGAGGACAATCGATTAGACTCTTCATATTCTCTTGAATTATTATATAAACCATTGTATCCCTTTACTATAATCAATCATTTGTCCTCACATACCAGTACAAGGGTTCATCAAGACTTTCGCTATGCTATCAAGCACACTTTTATAAGGACTTCATTTTTTTTGAAAATATCATAGGGCAGTTCTCAGCCCAACACGCTCAGAGTGGACGGACTGACTTGGGCCCGAGGGAATTCCTCATGGCCTTGCTGACACGTGTCACTCGTGGCCTAAGATTGTTGCCTGAAAAACACGCTCATAGTGACGCCCACATGCACATATCGTGGCGGGTCTGCATGGGAGCTGCCGCTGCTGCTATGGCGATGGCGGATCCAGTCTAACAAGCCATGCAGATCAAGACTACGCCATGCCACGAGTTGCAATGCGAAGTGACGGCCGCAGCATGCCATTCGAGACTCGATGGGCCGAATCTGACTTGAAAGAAAGGGACGTCTTGGATTCTTAAGAGCGATGCGGAGGGGCTCCCCACAGCAGAAAAAGGAGGATCGGGTTCATGGCAGACATACGGCGGACTGCGGCGGATCCAACGTACACTGACGGAAAGTATTGTCCACATGTTTGTGACTTAGAGGAATTTTGCCATTTTAGGGGGTCATGGACATTAAGCCTTAACCTTCTGGTGTGCCTAGTGTATGTAGGTTGGGGTAAGGCTCTACGCCCATGCCTTACATCACACAAGTATAATTATGTTTACAACAAATACCAGAAAATAACAATCTTGGTACATATGGACCTGCCAGGCGCAAGGCGCAAGTTACATCAACCCCAAACTAGTACCTAATCCACCGCCCTTTCGCCTTAATCACCGTCCTCACCCTCCTGGGCATGCTTTCCACCAGGTGGGTACACACATCCGCCGGGATCTTCTCCCATTCCTCCTGCACCCGCTCCCAAAGGTCCAGCATACCAGTGGGAGGCTTATAAGGCTTGGCCGGCTGCCTCTTGAGATGAGCCCATAAATGTTCCATTGGGTTGAGGTCGGGTGAGGAAGACGGCCACTCTAGCACCCCAAAATCTTGCTCTCTAAGCCACTCCTGTACGATACGCAACTTGTGCTTCGGGTCGTTGTCGTGCTGGAAGATAGTTTCTGAGGGTGTAAGCTGGTAAAGCTCAATCGTACTGTTGAGATCATCCTGCAGTATACTCAGCGAGAGCAGTCCGTCCATCCTACCATATTGCTCATGAAACCCGCTCCCTTTTACGACATGCAGTCGTAAATCATCAAGTCACCTCCCCCGTGTTTGACGGTCTGCTTGATTTGGTGTCTTTGGAGGGCAGTCCCTTCGTGAACGCAGGCGTATGAGAGTCCGTCGGATGCAAGACGACCGATCTTGGTCTCATCCGAACAGATCACTCGCTTCTAGTCGTCAACCGTCCAGTCTGCGTGGGCACGCGCCCATTCCAGCCTATCGCGTATGTTTTTCCGAGAGTGTCGCGGCTTCTTGGGATGCTTGATTGCGACAAGTTCGCTCCCATTCAAAGCGTTACGCAATGTCTTAGGATGCAACGTGATGCCGTGCTGCTTCTCAACGATTTTCGTCACGTGAGCGGAGATTTCTGCCTCCTCGCTGGTAATCGACCGAACTATGCCGCGGCGAACTCTCTCTATCACTAAGCAAGGGCGACCGGCTGAGGGTATCGTAGGACGCATGTCATCACGGCTAGACTCTACAATCGCCTTGATGGACCGAACTCTTCCCTATGCCTAGTTGTTTAGCGATTCAACGATTGCTATACCCCCTCCGCAACAAGGGAATGATCTATGCGTAGAGCGCCTCATCTAACGGTTTCATGACGGCCTAATCGTCGCAGCGGTCCTAGCCTATCTCCTGACTACTCGATAGTCACGAGGACAAGTAAGAAGAAATAGCGAGGTTAGGAAATAGATCTACTACGCTGCTTGGCTTGAACTGTCCGGATGCACCCACGCGAACGAAATCTCGTCCTCGGTAAAAAATCGACCCCTATAAAACTGAAACCAGCATCCGTCACATACAGTACAGTACTACTTTACATCCAACCCCGAAATTTGATTCGTAACTAAAAAAAGAAGGCACCAAACCAGTACGAGAGATGTTTTAAGGCAATTATCTGGGCAATACTTTCCGCCAGTGTATCTGTGACCTACCAGTAGCCAACAAGTAATAATATTATGATATAGATGCTATTAGGTAAGAAAATATATGGGTAATTTGTTGAAGTATACTCGACAAAGTTTTGTTATACATTCCTGATGTAACACTCATACTATACTAGTAGTGCGATACCTCATATGGAAGGACGTGCGTAATGACGTCAGCAGTAGCAAGTCAACGCGTATAGTCACCCGAATGGTCACGCCACTCTCCGTCACACGAACAGTCACTAGTCATGTCACACGAAAAGTCGCGATACACTACGAACATGTACATTTCGAATAGGTACTTCCTAGACTATACATACGCATGTATTACTCATTATTATTATCCTTGTCATTTCAGACATTTCCAATACAAGGTGTAAAGTCTTCCGCTGACTTTTACTCGTGGTTCCACCAATCTAGATCCTGGCCACTACGTGGTTCACTTCTACATGGAATTCTGAGCTAGTGGAGTTATAGGAGCAGATACAAGCTGATTTCAATTACGCCCTTAAACTTATGTCATAGATGCATAATTATGTCAGCAGCTAAGACAAGAAATTCAACTACGAATTCTCCTACTTCTGGTCTATCTACTAACGATCTATCTGATTTTGCTTCCTTGATGGCTAATCAATCTACTCAGCAACAACAACAAGCTCCAGCGCATCCTACAACTTCTATGAGCCTTGATAACTCTAGTTATGGAAGAGCTGCTGTTGCCGCTGGGCCTTGAGCCCCTAGAGATAAATCTGCTGGATCTTTTGCCTTCCATGGGCGACCTTCTCAACCACAGCAACAACAACAACCACAGCAGCAACAACATCAAATGGCAGAAGAAATACCATCTGTTGGAGAAGCTATCGTAAATCAAACAGATTTCCTAACTATCTCCAAATTCAAGACATCAACTTACTTTGATGGTCGCGACTTCTATACTTGGGGATTCGAGTTCAAAATCCTCGCACAATCTTCTGGTATTTGGGGATATTTTGATGGTACAATCCGTTATCTCAGAGACAGGAATCGGGAGAAGTCGGGTGAAGCCGCCCCTATCAAGACTATTTTGTCGCCTTCAACTTCTTCAGCTCAACCTGCAAAAGGCAAAGCAATCATTAATTGCATGATTAGACCACACTGGTCTAGTGGTATACGATACCGTAGTCGACAAGACAATGACAGCAACAGTGACATGGAAGAAGTAGCAGCCAATCTACCTCCACGTCTTCGTCCTCGTTCCGAAACTCCATAACCAGCAGTCGTTAATGAAGAACCAGAGCAACCGAACGAGTTTCATCGACGGTTGAACGTGCAGACGTACGCCCATATCACCAGAACGTACTTATCCCGAGAATGTTAACACTTGGTTTCTTGACAGCTGTTGCGGTCACCACATGGCGTCTTCAAATCGCTATCTCCTTAACAAGCGAGACCTCTCAAATTGAGAAAAATACAACATCACAGTGGCCAACAATCAAGTTATTGAAGCCACTAGAATTGGAGATGTGATACTAGAGCCAGACTACATTGAAGTTTCACTTCACCTTAATAAGGTTCTCTTCGCTACGGGACTTGGTTTCAATTTATTATCACAAGCGCAGCTGATGGAAAGTGGCATTTGTTTCATCAGCACCACCAATACGATGCTCACGGAGTTGTACCTGGGCAATAAGAATGAAGACAGAAACATTTCAAAGTACATGGGCATCTGGAGATGGAAACGACCACGAGTATTGAAGACATTGAAGACATTGTACCTGGCACAAGCGGTTAGGTCATCCCTCGCAAAAAGCTCTCAACAACTCAATTAAAGCCTCGGTTTTCTAGAAGGACGCACTCCTTTTAACCAACGGCCAAGAGCTTCGACCTAGCAGTCGTCACCTACCCTGCACCATCTATCCCGGAGCTCACCTAAGTCATGCTCCTATCCCGTCACACTTTCCAAATGCTACTAAGTACTCACCTATGAATGTCGTTTTTAGCGATTTACTCTTCATGCTGCAGGAAGCAGAGGATATCAGCGGCAACGACTACCGCTACATAATTACCTTCATCGATGGTGATAATCAATATGTCTGGCACAAGAATATCTCTCACAAGTCTGAAGCTCTTGACGCCTTCAAACTATGACTGAAAATCGCAGAGCGACAGAGTGGCATCAAGCTGAAAGAGATCCAGACATTCAACGCGGGCGAGTACACTGGCGAGTAGTTCGATGAATTTCTGGTGCGGAAAGGGATACTCAAGTGCAAGAATATGCCTTACGCCCATCAGCAGAATGGGGTAGCTGAAAGAACTAACAGAACGTTGCAAGAGAAGATGCGCGTGTTGCTGCAACAGTCCAGCTTGACAGCAGACTTCTGGCCGTTTGCGATGGCGCAAGCTGTCCGCCTATACAACTACTTCTCTTCAACAACTCTCCCTCATTTCAGCTCGCCACACGTGATGTGGACAAAACACCCCGCTGACACTCGACTTTTACGAGTTTGGGGCTGCATGGTCCAATACAGACCTTCGAGCGTAAATGTGGGCAGATTTACTGATCGGGCTCGATGGGGAATACACCTTGGTGTACCCAGAGACTCCTACTCCTTGATAATTATGGATTACAAAACCCGAAAGGTTTAGTATGCCCGAGACTGCATCTTTTACGATAAACTTTTTCTCGATGACTTCGAACGCGACAAGGAACAACAGCAGCGGGATCTTGATCGCTACAGTGCCGAATGGAGTTGCACCACTCCTCAAGACGAAGCAGATGCAGCCGAAGAGTATTACCCGCCCGACAGCGCAGCAGTAGGACCTTCTACTGTTCCACAACAGTCTACGTTAGCAGCCGAACCACTGTTCGACTCTTATATTCCTTCGACATGTGCCAACAACACTAAAGCACCGCTCTCATTCCCCTCCCAGACCCGTTGCGTCTTGCCACGACACTGGCTGCCTATAATTATAAGGAGCATCTCCGCCGATAGAAAACTGACAGTGCTCGCCATGTGCCATCCGAAATTGATGACGATCACGTCGTCGAAGGTTGCCAACCTCAACCTCGTGGTGACCAATCGGCTCTTCAAAATCTCAGACTTGTCGTCACAGTTCAGCAACCAACGACCGGGATCGAGCCGAAAACAGTCAAGCATGCCCTCTCTGGCTCTGATGCTGACAAATGGCGAACAGCTATAGTTGCAGAGATAGCAGCTCTCGAGAACCAGAAAATGTGGAAACTCGTTCCACGCGAAGTAGCACACGGCAAGAAAATACTTAGGAGCAAAAGGGTCTTTCGCATAAAGACAAATGCAGCAGGCGAAACGGACATATTCATGGGGAGATGGGTCATTCAAGGTTTCGAACAAACCCACGGCATCGATTACGACCGGAATTTTGCTGCCAACCGCCACCTTCCACTTCACCAACTGGACGTAAAAAACGCGCAGACGTCGATGCATATATTTTTCTCGTACTCCCTCATACTTACGGCGACGAACTTCACATTTGCAAGTTACTTAAGTCACTCTACGGCATCAAACAGGCTCCTCCCCCGTGGCATCAACATCTTCACAAAGTTCTGATTTCACTCGACTTCGTGCAGCTGCCCCACGATCCTGGAATGTACAGACTCGAATTTCAGAGGACTTACATTCTCCTAGTCGCCTACATGGACGACTTACTGTACATCGGCTCGTGCAATAGTCTTCTGGCGTGCATGGAGAAAAGAATCCGAACGATTCTTGAAGTTACTATTTCTCGAAACGTCACCCAATTTTTCTCCAAACGTCGACCGCGTCCCCGATGCCATCTACCTTTCTGCAAGCAAGTACGCAGAAACACTTGCGAAGAAATTCACAATCGCTCCTATCGGCCTCACCACTCCATTTCGTCACATTTCGGCCGATCACACAGCTGAAACTACACCATTTACCGCTTCTGAGCATCAGCTTTACCAGCAGCAGCTCGGGTGTCTTCTATTTGCAGCAGTTACAGCGACGGAAAGTATTGTCCACATGTTTGTGACTTAGAGGAATTTTGCCATTTTAGAGGGTCATGGACATTAAGCCTTAATCTTCTGGTGTGCCTAGTGTATGTAGGTTGGGGTAAGGCTCCACGCCCATGCCTTACATCACACAAGTATAATGATGTTTACAACAAATACTAGAAAATAACAATCTTGGTACATGTGGACAATTATTGCCAGGCGCAAGCAGCAAGTTACATCAACCCCAAACTAGTACCTAATCCACCGCCCTTTCGCCTTTAGACACCGCCCTCACCCTCCTGGGCATGCTTTCCACCAGGTGGGTGCACACATCTGCCGGGATCTTCTCCCATTTCTCCTGCACCGGCTCCCAAAGGTCCAGCATACCAGTGGGAGGCTTATAAGGCTTGGCCAGCTTCCTCTTGAGATGAGCCCATAAATGCTCCATTGGGTTGAGGTCGGGTGAGGAAGACGGCCACTCTAGCACCCCTGAATGTTACTCTCAAAGCCACTCCTGTACGATACGCGACTTGTGCTTCGGGTCGTTGTCATGCTGGAAGATAGTTTTTGAGGGTGTAAGCTGGTAAAGCTCAATCGTACTGTTGAGATCGTCCTGCAGTATACTCAGCGAGAGTAGTCGGTCCACCCTACCAT